AAATAATATTCACCACTTCTTTCCCTTCACAATCAAATGGAAAACCTTAAGGGTTTAGAGTGTGGACAGATAAAGATTACAGAAAACTAAAAGCATCTGGTTTCTGAACAAGTCACCATAAACACACCTAAATCTCCATTAACTAACAGATTAAAACAACACTTGACTGGATCTAGTGCATGAACCTTGTCCTTCTTTGATGTTCATTTTATAGAACATTATTGGTCATCAAATATTAAAAAGGAGGATGACTCTTTAGCCTTAGTCTAACCCACTCATTACTCCCAGTAGTGCTGAACCTTCACTTCTGTGCTGCAATTTTGGACTCTGTATTTTTTCCTTAATAAACAGCATGTAGGAAGCCTCCCAGCACACCAGTCCCCATGTTACCATCAGTGTTCAAGCTCAGAACAAACCTTTGATCCATTCAGAGAGACTACACACCACCTCTTCTTCCACTATATTCCTGAAATACAATTTGCTGGAAGTGAGGGGAGAATTGGGGAAGTATCACTGGATTCGTCCTCAGCTCTTATTCTGGCCACCAGGCAGCTGCTATTGCCAAGTCTCAAAGCAAGGACAGAGGTAGAGAAAGACCTCTACCCTAACCTGGATATGACCATACTAACCTGTATCTAGAAGGAGAGCCTTTTCATATAAAGACTTAGAAACAATGCCTGTCTCCTCTCTGTTTATCTTTTAGCTCATTCTTTATTAAAGAAAACAAAAACTAAAACCCACAAACCTCAAATCAACAACTCTAAGGAACAGTCATAAGCTCTAAGGAACAAACTAAGGATTTTCTGACTTACAAAAAACCTTTATGATTCTAAGCCTGACTGAAAGAACAGAAACACAGTTACAATAAATTTCTTAAAATAACCACAATCCAACGATTCAAAGAATACCAAAATCAAGAGTTCAATGCTTTGCTGCATGTGCACACTTCAGTGTTTTCCCTGTTTCTAGTTTGTCTTTAGGCAAAGTGGGTTAACTCCTAATCCGAATTTAGTTTCATTAAAATTCACAAGAGTCATTTTATAACACAAATCAAAACCTTCACTGGACACTCTGGACATACCCATCTACTCTGTTTATGTCAATTCCTAACCTGTTGTTAATGAACTGAAGTTTGTTATGTCAGATGAGCTAATCAATATTAAATACAAAGATAAAAAAAGCACAAACCCATTCAAAACACCTCATTCTAATTAACCACCTGAACCATTTATTTAAAAACAGAGCTAAAGTCAACAAGTACAGGGATCTGGTACTGGACTCCTATTTCAGTAACACAGAGTATGTGTTACTGCTGTAAAACCACCCAGCTTGGGAAAGTCACTGTGCTACATGACCCATGGCTCATTCTACACAAGACCATGGCACAAAAGCTGCTTTATGAAGCCCAGTCCCAGATAATTACAGGTAAACAGGTAATAAACGTTAGTTTGAAAGGCCACAGAATATTATCAGCCCAGATGCAAAATCCTTCGTAACATCCTATACCAAATGAAAAACCTCCAGAAAAGAATGCTCAAAAATTCAACCATTAAGTGCCATCAATGAGCAGAGGAGTTTAAGGGCTTCACCATAACCTTGGTCCCTGTGGTAGTGAGGAATCTGTCAAAGAAAACTTGCTGATGACCCTGCCTGTGTCCCACACCCCATGCTAGAGAACAGGGAGAAGAAAACCCAATGGTCTTCTGTTCATCTAGAAAACAAGTGGATATCTCTTCTCACCCAAAATGCAAGATCTAACTGGGGCCATTTAACACTAAGGACACAAGATACCTTGAGTATCTCTAAGAACCACAGAACACCCAAACATACAAGCTTCCTCTGGCCATGATACCTTGTAGGGTTTCCAGGAATGTACACACAGGCACAGAGATAAAATATCAGGCAGACCTTCTATCAGAAGTGTAGGTGTGTGTGTAGAGGGGGAGCATGACTGAAGGAAATAATTTTTTAGGAGCCTTCAGGTGATCAGAGAAAGTTTTATTGCTTAGGATTCATATAATATGAACAGGATGTAAAGAAAAAAAAAAAAAAAATCAATCTCCTTTCAACCCCTCTACACACACACACCTTGGAAAAGACTCCACATACAATATGAAAGATTGATTTTCTACCTCTAGGATAGAAAAAACATCCTTACACTTTCATAAGATTACAAAGCTCCAATTTAAAACAATTTACTACTGTCTCCAACAGCACCTGCAGAGAAGAATGGTCTAAAATCCCACAGCCCCCGACTCAAACAATGTTGTATCCTGACTCTGGCAGCCTTGTCAAACCTAAACAAATAACAGACTGAGCTGCAGATTCTATTCATCTTTACAAATACCAACAGCATTTATTAGATTTCTCCAAACTGCACAACTGCAAACCAAAAGGGAACAGCAGGGGGTCACTACCAACATCATTTTGCCTGCAGATGATCCATAAAACAGAAAGGGAAGGAAGGAGGGAGTAGATCAGCCTCTCAGGGCAGGCAGCCAGGAAAAGAAGCCTGTTGTTAACACATCTGGAATTCAGAATATCTACAGACCAGGGTTTTTTTTTTTACTACTTCATTGGTTCTTCCTCCTACTTATGGACAAAAGGAAACAAAAGTGTTTCTGTGTGTAAATTCCAGATTGCAAGACTCCATCAAGAGCATCACACATTAATACCACCCCTTATGCTGACAAATATTTCATAGATAAAGTTTCCAAATATTAACATTTTGGTTTCTCTCATGCATTTTGCCATCAAACATATTTTCTGAATGGAGCAGGTACCAGTTTTTTTATCATTCTCTCCAGTTTGTTCATGGAAATCCTTCCCCTATTCACTTTGCTATTAGAATTAAAAGAAAAATTAGTTAAGAATTGCTATTTTAACACGCCCATATCACTAATAGAAAACAAAACATTGGACATTACAGTTTCCTAACTAACTGACAACAGTCAGTATCCTCTTGCTAAGCCCTCAGTAGTGACCCTGAACAGTAATACTTTCCATATACTGATTTTTATTGCCAATCCAAAGAACTACAATCCATAGATCAGTTCTTTCTAGTGAACTACAACTGTAGTACATCCTAACCAGAAGTACAGAGTAAAATCTAAGCAGAATTTCATAAAATCATAGAATGGTTTAGGTTGGAAGGGACCTTAAAGACCATCAGGGTCCAACCTCCCTGCTATAAGCAGGGACACCTCTCACCAGACCAGGCTGCACAAGCCCCATCCAACCTGCCCTTGAACACCTCCAGGGATGGGGCTTCCACAACCTCCATGGGCAACCTATTCCAGTGCTTTTCTACCCTCATGGTGAAGAATTTCTTTCCAATGTCTAACCTAAATCTCCCCTCTTCCAGTTTAAAACCATTACCCCATCTCCTATCACTGCCCTCTCTGGTGAAAAGCCCCTCCCCAGCTTTCCTGGAGCCCCTTCAGGCACTGGAAGGTGCTCTAAGGTCTCCCTGGAGCCTTCTCTTCTCCAGGCTGAACAGCCCCAACTCTCTCAGCCTGTCTCCAGAGCATTTCCATTCTATCGTAGAGAACAGTGTTATTACACAGAAGCCAGAACATTCCTGATTGAGAACAGATCTCCCCAAAACAGCCAACGACACAATAATAATATAAATGAAGAAGGAAATAGGAGTGATGAAGGGGATTTGTTGTGCTAGAGTTAAATATGGTTCTCAATCCTTTCTGAATGCTTGTTCACACATGTAAGGGGATGACTGACTACCAGGAGTCAATAAGCTCTACCCTGAAAAAGGGTTCAAAGTTCTATGTAGCAGAAGATCCCTATTTTAGCAAAAATAATTGGTTTATACCAAAAGCATGCTAAGGTAGCTGTAACAGAAGGTTACAAGAACCCACCCACAGAAATGTAATCATTACATGCTGTATGGAAAGAAAAATAAACATTCTAAAGAAGAATACCAAGTATTAGCTTAATTTAATATTAGCAACTCTTATCATTAGACTGGCTTTAAGAAAAAATCCTCAAGATATGAGGAACACTAAAGGAGATATTGCCTTTGCAAAAACATGGGCATTATGGAACAGACATTAGATAAAATCAACAAAGAAACTACCAACAATGAGAACAAGATACACAGTAAGTGGAATTAGCACCCAGGAAGCTCAAATTTCCAGTGAAATGTTAATTTTAAAAAAAATAAAATCAATAAAGGTTTCATGTACTGCCCTCCTCAGTAATGAAAAATACTTTTATGCATCTAAATTTTCAGCTTAGTAAAACTTACAAAGCTGGAAACATTTCAGGTCAGAAGATTCTGGGTTTAATTCTTACTAAATTCCACTTTGCCTAGAAGATTTGTTTCTCTTACCTTTATTACTAAGCAATTTCACTAGCAATAACTCTGATTTTATCCCTGTGTGTATCTTGTTAGCAGAAGAACCAGAAGATTCTGTTTTACAATATTTCTTCTTTCTGTAGAGCATCACTGCACAGACTGCATTTTGTATTCCAGAAAGCAAAGCAAGACTTTTATCCTCTTTTTTTTTTTTTTTTTTTTTTCTCCAAACCAGAACATTAAATTCTGAAATATTTATTCTCATTGTCTGCCATAATTCAATTAACCATTCATACTTTGTAACAAAGGCTGCACTTTCAGGTTTTCTTCTGAATTCCCTGAGCACAGTA